ATTTTATTGATTAAATTAAAGGCAACACTTATTATTAGTATTACACCCCAACCAACCCAATTTGGTAGACACAAAATTTGTTAAAGGAAAAACTCGGTTGAAACATAAGGGTAGCACGCTTATTTACATCGACTTTAACATTACAGACCTGTATTTGTTTTATGCGTTCACTTGGTTCCGCGAATGTGAAATAGACATGTTTATAATCAACCAATTGTGAATTTCACCGTCAAGAATTAAAATAAAACCCAATGTTTTATATAATAAGCGGAAGTCGAAGCAATAAAACCGATGGTCGTTTTGTTTACAGTTTCTCTATTTGATTCTCACGTATGCTTTTACGCTTGTCATCTTAAATTAAGAATGTTTATACACAAACGATTTTCAGTTGCCTTTCATATTACTAGACAGCGGATTTTTGTCGGGCTACGTCACGATTATAGGTGGGGACGCGCTGGATCGCCGGGACTCAGTAGCGGGTGATAGATAATCACTGAATTTAATCAGTACTAATTCCATAAATATAATTAACGATTTATTAATCAAACGGCTAAGTAAATGAGAACGGGAATTAACAGCAGAGTGCAACGAAACAGCGTTATTCGAATCTCAAATAAACGAAGTGCAGTCCGCAACCGCAATGAATTCGCATCCCGTGCGAGCCGTACCGAGTTTGGCCTTGCCTAGCCCGACAGAAATCCGCTCTCTAGATATTACACACCGGCGCCGTATACGTGAGTAAATTGTTTCGTTACTTTATTGGTTATAAGAAATCAATATTCAAAACGACCCAATTCATTTTCCCGAAAATTTGGGAATACAATAATTTTATTCTTAGTATTACACTACATCTATCCCAACTGATATACGTGTCCTTGCAAAAATGTTGATGACGTCATCACAATTTTTTTTTAAATTCCCACTACAAAAATGTAATGAGAAAAAAAACACAATAGGCATGCAGTCGTCAAGTTTCCGACAGCGAGGGAAGTACTGTCTAAACTCTTTAGACCAATTTTTTAGATTTGATTACACACGATGACTGAAAAAAATTAATGAATCAGTCAATTTATTTTGTTCTTGTATCTTGCTATTATCTATACTATATTCACTGAAACGAGTCACCCCGTCATAACAAACAAATTGGCGTGTCATCACGTGGACAGTCGAATTATGCGTTTTCATTGGTCAGATATTGTCTCAATCGAGACATACTTCACGCAGGTGCATTTTACGGAAATACATTTTGCAGTTCAATTATTTAATATCATGTTGCTAACGGATTCTGCAGAGGAGGTTGTTGCGAATTCACTTTCTCCTCCGAAAAGAGAAAAAAGGGCGCCTACAAGTTGTTGTTGATGTTGTGTTTTTACGGAAAGCGCCTCATCTTTTCAGCGGAACATCGGTAGATTCCAGGCGCGGATCCAGGGGGGGGGGGGCAATGGGTGCAATTGCCCCCCCCCTGACACACGACCGAGGTACTTTATTTTGACAATTTCAAAATTTTGAAATCATATTTCATTTTGTAAATTCAGTACAACCTCTATAATCCGAACTCACGATTGTCTCAGCATCCAGTAATCCGAACAGAGGCTATTTGAAGTCGATGCCTCCTTAATCCGAACTGAACTTGAAAACATGCATCTACTTCCAAAAATGACGCAAGATCTTTCTGCATATGTTGTATGGAATATTTTGAAATTTTTAAAAATTGCGATATTTTAAAGCACTGAATTAATTAACTAATTCTGGAAAAACGGATGAAGTTATCGGAGACCTGAAAGCTACAAGAGAAAGTATTTGGTCAAACTTCGAAAATCGTCGAAAATGGGTCGAAATTTGCATGAGAAAAATTTCATATTTGAAAAAATTTCCTAAAAATTCTGAAAAAATTCAGGGATGTATATCCCGACGTGCTGATTCCAAAAATATACCGGAGCAATATTTTCGGAAAATTCACTGTGAAATTCGAGTTTTTCGAAATTTTAAAAAATTGCGATATTTCAACTGGACGATTCTGGAAAAATGGTTTAAGTTATCGAAGAAATGAAGCCAGAAGTGACTTCTGAGGTCCAAAATCTACAAGAAAATATGTCTAGCTAAATTTCTAAAATCGTCGAGAATGGGTCGAAATTTGCATAATGGAGGTAATACGAATACATAATAGAAAATTTCGTTTTTGAAAAATTCATCTAAAAATTCTGAAAAATTTCAGGGTATAGATCCCGGGGTGTTTATTCCAAAAAGATAGCGTGTTTATGGGCACGGAGTAATATTTTTTTAGAATGTATCTATTATCCATTGTTGCTTAAGAATTCTTTAATTTTTGTTTAATAAAATTTAGGTTTAATTCTTGAAGTTTGTTTTCAGTTGTGTATGAAGTTGTTATTCAATTCCCTTTCAGATTTTTGGTAAAATTGCTGATCCGAACAAATCGTTAATCCGAACACATCTTTTTCCCAATGAATTAGGATTATCGAGGTTCTACTGTACACAATACGTGTAATGAAAAGAACCAAATGTCACCCATGTTATGTGAAAAAGAGTATACTACCTAAAATTTTATAATTTTTTTTGTTTAGGACGAATTTCTGGTAGATAGGTAAAATCGCACAAAAATCGCACAAATGCCACTGACTCCTTACCAATTGACGTTAAAATCTATATTGTTGTTAAAATATTCAAACACACATACATTTACACAGTTAGGGTAAGACAGTTGAATCCTTCTGTAAACAAGTTGATGTTGAGTACAAAAAAATATCATCTTTTTCAAAGACAAGATTCTTGAGTTTAAGGCCAGCAGATGAGAGAATTTTAGTAATGTACAAACCAGTCATTTGCTTTCTTTGGAAAATTGCCCTACAATTTTAAAGCAGTTTTTTGAAAATCCTCTTGGAGAAATTTGTATGTGGTTTGTTCACAATATTTCTTCATTATTTCAACAAGCTATTTTGAACGTTGAAGGCAATAACGTGTGTGCCACTGAAGCCGCTTTGGCATACTTCAGTCTAAAAGAAAAATTACAAAATATACCGAATTAGTTATTCCTGCCAATTGAGAATGTTTAGCTCACCTGGAAAATCTGGACAACAGCGCGAATTACCGTGGAGAATTTTCTGACATAGTAAGGGCATTCTATTCAAGATGCGTAAATTATTTGGAAAATTGGACACATCTATTTGTATTGAAGCCGTTCAAATCGGTCAGTTTAAGAAAAGAAGCTACATGGAATGAAATACTCCTTCCGTGTGAAGCGTGTAAGGTAGAAATCGGCAGTGTATTAAATGAAGATGCATGTTTTGATGAAATAAGCGCCTTGAAAAGCTTTGCTACAAATGAAAAAATCACTTAATGGAATTCTCAAAAAACGTCAACTGAAGACAGATGGCTGAAATTTTTCAAGTACCTACGTAAGATCTATACCTTACCAAAGTCCGTCAAAAAAATTGAAACTGATTTGCTTAGCTGATTTGTTTTCTAATATTAGTAAATAATACTGGAGTTCAGAAGAAAAAACAAAGTAACCCTCCCTACATTAGAAGCTGTAATGCACGTGTATATGAATTTTGATGAAAGGAAATCTTAAGCTCACAGAAATATGACTGGTGCAAGCCGAAACCCGCCACTTCGACTTCCAATTAAAATAATCTAGAATATAGGTATGATGCTATGTCCAATTGATATAAATAGAAATATGTATAAAACAATATTGAATACATGATCTAAAATACAGATCGATGTTGTGTACTTTTTCTTTCTTCAAAAATTATGGTCACCATAGATATGGTACTCCGGTGTTGAAAAGCCCTCGTATTTATGGCAATATAAAAACTCAAGTAAATTTTATCGCGCGGCACAAGACACTTTTTCAAACTATCTCCTCTCCTCTCATTCTACCTTCGTAGTGTTCTAAAAGCAGAAAGGAGATACGATTCTGTCTGTCACAATGGTCACAGGTTCCCCAGGATATGAAAAAAGCAGTAATTTAAGTGAAAAAAAAACTTGATCGAAAGTTGTTTCAACAGAACTTCCATCGCTCCTGAAATACAATTATTTTTTAAGAGTCACCCTGTATGCGCAAATTCAAAAAATATGAACGGAATGATAAATTACGAGTACAGACTCGTCATATTTTGTACATTTTAGATAGGATTTATTTGGCAAACTTTTGAACTGACGTCATCAATTTTTTGGAGAAGATAAGCAAATATAGTTTGACTAAAAATTTATTATGCACTTTATAACCTTAAAACATCTGCAAGATTTTAAAGCATTCGGTTTAGCAGATTCAAAATTAAATTGGAAAATGTTGTTTTATAATTTTGATTTTTTTTCCAAAAATCTGGACGTTTCGGGTAAAAACTCTATTCGGAGTCATAAACTACATGTTTAGGACTATGTTATTTTATACAATTTAAAACCCATTTGGTATGTACAATTTTGAAGTGACGTCATCGCATCAGTGGTGGGGATGATTAGATAAATTTCGGCTAGCGTTTTACCATCTACTGATATTCCTGATATAAATATAAAATTTCACAACAACCGGTCCATTACTTTCGGAGATTATCTGACTAATAAAAATCCGGGACGGCAGACAGATGGCCAGACAGACAGACAGACGGAAACGGGAGACCTATTTCTTCGTCTTCTAGGGGTCATGAAAGATCGAGAAAATGTAAAAGCAGAGAGTCAGCCGACGGACTCGATTACAATACTTTCTTTGCTTACGCTCGGGAAGTAAAAAGAGTATTTTTCAAAGGACATCTTCAAGTTACACGAGCTGCCAATTATACACAGAATATTGCACTAAATTATGGATCAATGGCTAGGTGACTAATAGATTATTATATTGTAATCATTATGTACAGACACTGACTTCAAATCATAGGCGTCTGGCGTAGTGACATTTTCATGATGGTTTCTTCACTTTAATTTATTGTTTAGTATTTTTTAATGTTACACGTTTCTTAATTTCGTTAGGAAATGTTAGGAGCTTGAAGTTTAATAAAATTTTATTTTATTTAACAGTCTTAACAATATCTGTATTACTAATTTAAAAATGTTTGTACATACTTTGTGTTTTTAAGCTCTGTTTATACATAAAATGAAAAATGTAAATGTACACAGTCACTCTCACATAAATTCCGTACAACCTCATTTTTACGTTGTGTCAAAATCAATAGCATGGACACAAATTCAGATTGTCATCTGTACGCGATTTAAATATGTGAGCATGAGTGTACATGTTGAGCATTCTTTAACCAAACATATTAACCAAGTTGTTAAATCCACTAGTTATCGACGAAATAATACCAGACTGTGGGGGAGGTTTAAGTGGTCGATGATACAAGGGATGTTGCTGAGGTCGATAAAAATTGCCATCCTTTCTCTGAAATATTAAAGTTCAATCAAAAAGAAACTAAAAGTCCTAGCACTTACAACTAAAAAGATAAAAATAAGAACAGAGCGTTAGTCTTGAGGAAAAGTAAAATCTATATCTGGAGAGGAGACTTCCGGTGATAACATTGTAATTGGTGGGGATGTAACCGGTTTTTTAAAACTTTGCCCAGGCTGAAATGAAGTATGTACAAAAAGTGTTCCGCCACCACTTTAAAAGCAAAAGTAATAATAACATATAGCCTACCTTTGCTGCATGCAAAGTTACATTTACAAGTGTTGGGTGCTGTTCCACAACCATAACATCTATATCTTTCGGTACGTAACCGTCGGCATATATTTCAAGCTTATACATTCCAGGCATTAGTATTCTCCAAAATTCACCGTGCTTCGTTGACTGAAATCCCACATCTCTAGTTTTTATTTTTAAAGAAGCTTTTTCGACGGGGTTGCCATTTTCATCCATGACAAACCCATGAATACCCCTATGAGCTTCGGCAAGAAATTTAATCAATGCCTAAAATTATGCAACATGTAGAACAATAAAAAAGTATCGCTTATCAATGTTGAGTGCCGAGTATTTATCAGAAGGTAATATTTTAAATAAAGTAACTTGGTACAAACTTGATAATGTATCCTAAAATATATAGAATGTTTAGAACATCTTATATGTCTCTATAAAATATAAAATAAATAAATTCGAAATTAAAAAAAAATATATTTCCTATACAAATTATAATTTTTACTTTTGCACTGAATTAATTTTATTTTTTAGTAAGACATACATGAAGCATAGACTCCTAGATTAGATTAGACTGGTCTGCCCCCGATGGTGGTGGTAAACGACGACATTGATACTCGTTACGAGCAAATGGACCCTCTCAGTTTTGTGACAAATTTGGGCAACGACCTTTCTTTCTTCGTGGGTTATAAAGCCATACCAAATCTTCTGCCTGGAATTCTATCGAGTGACACTTAAGGTCATAGCGTGTTTTCATTCTCACTCGCCAAGCGAATTTTGTGGCGCACCATTTCGTGAACGCACAACTGCTTCTCCTTCAAGTTATCGACGTAAACTGTGGCCTCCTTTGGTTCTTGGAGAGCCGCACAGTAATTCACAAGGTAGTACTCCAAACTTACTGATCCAATTGTCAATTAGCATCTTTGCAACTGAAGTGGCCTCTGAGTTTGTCATGGCATAAGCTTCAGGCCATTTGCTGAAGTAATCTCTGACTACCATTATGTACATAAACACGGAAATAATTCTGTCCTCGGTCACCGGGAAAGGACTGCTACGTCCACTGGATTTTTTAGAAATGTGAACCGATGTTGTATTGTGGCATCGGGCGTCTCCCTGTAGTCCTCGGTCCTTTGAACGCCGCACAGGTCGTACATTTCTTGCACCAGTTCTCGACGTCTTCTCGACAACGGTCCCAGTAAAATCTCTCCCTAACTTTAGAAAGCTTCCTGTTGATTCCAAAATGAGCACAAGAGCACCCGTTGTGTATTTCTTGATGTACTTCTTTGATTCTGATGACCGGAATCACCAACTGCATGGTGGTATGTTTTCCATACGGACTTTCCCAAGCTCGTTTAAGTAATCTGTTATCCGTAGACAGCCACACTGAGTCGATAACGCTTTGAAAGAAAACCAATTGCTATAAAATTTTGCACATGCTTTGAATCGGTTCTAATCAGAAATTTGCGGGCGTAGGGACATTTATGGAAAGTACACTGCTGAAGTACTCGATGACTTTTCTTCCTTGCCCTGCACCTCTAACGGCACCTATGCCGATGTTGCTCGCGTATGTGTCCAAGATGAACATTCCTAATGATTGAGGATAGGACAGAGTATGACTAGAGTATCGTGTATTCTTCAGTCTTTTGAAGGCTGTCTCACATTCAACAGTCCAATTAAACTGGCCCACGTTTTGAAATTAGTGCTTTATATAAACGAACTGGGCAAATATCTGAGTCAGTTTTGTTCATTGTTAGCGATTTACTGTCAGCAAGTTTTTGATTACCACCCTGTGTCGTTTTAATAAAGACAATATTGTATTCTAATCTTCCCGTAAAATTTCTTTCACCATCTGTCTCTTCTTTAAAATAATAAAGTAAGCACTGAGTACCTTCGCCTCCTCTCCATGCCAGTTCGTAAACAGATATTTGGAAGAATTTTTTCTGAAGTCCCGTCGATGTTTCTTCATCCTAAGTTTTTACCGTTCCTATTAATTTTTCATGATTCAAAGCACTGGCACTCTGTTTACGTTTAGACGGGATAGCTTGTAATTCTTTCCTCTTTGCTTTTTTAAACCGGATGCCCGTAAATGGGTCGAAGTTGATATTATATTCGTTATGAAATTTTTCTTGTACCAATTTCGCAGTGATGTTCCACATTGACTTTATCACGACTTCTTTGTACTCCTCGTCGTTCGTTTTTTTTTTTTCATATTGTACCCTCAGTCTTCTAAAATTCTTGAAATTTCTTCGATGGAAGTAGTCTCAGATAGGCAGTAATTACGGTCCACACAAAAGGAATTGAATTGTTTTCATACTGAATTTTTTGTTTTCTTTGTATTAGAAGCAGTCACATTATCAACTGCACTTTGTATGTCTCTAGAACTTGCATTTCCAAATCGGTTAAACATTATTTTCAGTCTTTTCGTAAAAAAATCCAATATGTCTGCCTTTGTTTACTGTGTGGTTAAGGTTTTGAATGAGATTCAAGGAAAATTCGATTTTTGGAGTTACTTGCGAAATAATCACTTCAATATTCACTCAACTTCCGTTTACTCAGTGAGATATTTTGTTACTATGGAAATTACATTGTTGCTTTAATAGTAGCAACGTTAAGAATTGGATAATCATATGTAATACCACGAGTAGGCCAAGTTATGTCGATTATTTTTCAAACTGTCACGAATGTTAATTGTGCTTGCAAATGAATCCACAAGTGCGTTAGCACGAGTGAGATTCACAAGCACAATTGAATGTGTGAAACCAGTTTGAAAAATAGTCTACATAACTTGGACTACGACTGGTATTCGGTAGACTATTCCAAGAGCCATGAACCAACTCTTTTTTTATTCAAAGTGACTCAAAACACATTCAAAATAATTTTAGGCATGACTCGATTTCCATGTCAACAAATGCAAGTTCGGAAAATTAAAAAAAATAATGTTTAATAAATATATGTTTTGTTGTTGATTTTAAAAATATTTATTCGTTAAAAATATTCGCTGGACCACTAGTGGTATATCCGATGATATTTCCACTAGTGGAATATTCGGTAGAAATCGTTGAAACCATAGTAACAAATGTGTAAACACGCATTTTTATTGGTCCATTTTTTACAAATGGCAGGCGAATGGAATAGTCACTAATAACTCTATCAAGTTTTGTCAATAATAAAAAATATTAGAACTGAGTGATCTGTCATTTTACATACAGGATGTAATGTTTAAGTGTCGAGCGCTAGCCTCCTACAGGAAATCCATACCAGGGGACATCCGACCTAGTATAGCAAAAATCAGGGATTTCCCACCCTCTGCCTTACTCAAATACTTTCAAGAAGTTGGGTAGATTGATGAGTAGAGGAGCTGGAAGACACCCTGATATGGACCTGGGAAAGGCACAAAGCGAGGCCTAAGTGCCGGCTGGCCACGGTCGGCCCCCATATAATTATAATCCAGAATGTTTGATTTGTACTTTAAAATTTGTGGCAAAAAATTTATGGGAAAATTTTAGATAAACAAGCACCCGACATTTGATAGCGGTATTTAACCTTTAGTGCATGTATACCATACGGTTATCTTCCCAATATTTAGGCAATTCATGAGCTGGAGGAAATTTACAACAAGACACTTCTAAAGTTACTTCCATACAACCATACCACACATAATTGAAATCTTGCATGCCACCTGTCAGTGGATACCATTCAGCTCCGTTTGTGATTCCCTGGTAATGAAGTTATTAGTATTTTTTATATCAACATTAAAAACGTTACCCTTCTGAAGCCTTTTTGGGATGATCTGCAGGCCACTCCACGGCTCATCTTGGCATGATTAGTTGAGTACGTTAGAGCTAGGTGTTTAAAAACGTCATCATCAGGAGTTAACGATGGTGCGGAGGAGTAACTCTGAAACACTTCCCAATTTGTTAATTATTACATATTAAAAATCTCAAAACAAAAATAAAACAACTTACAAGAACACAATGCGGAAGACCTACATAGTCCTTGCAGCATAAACAACTGATGTAATAATAAAGTAATATGTTTTTTTAATAATAGTAGCGTTCAACTTACGTGAATTTGGGGTATTGTCAAAGGGGTAACTAGCAACCAAAGCACCACCATGTAAACTTCCCGATAATACAAACTGAATCTTGGATACCCATTCTTTCACTGCGTCAGTTTCTGGCTGGGTTCTCTTGTTATTCTGTTTAAAATAATCGGGAAAGTTTCGATTTAAGTCAAAGCCACGAGCATTGTAACGACCTTGACCTCCATCGCAGGTGCCCTCCTTAGCCACTTCAAAACCATCAGGATTCATTGATGGCATTATATGAATTCTAGTGTTGTCCATCAACCAACGAATATAAGGATCCACATGATAATTCGTTACTAGATGCTAAAAATAAATACGTAATAAATGTGGTTTGATTTTACAATCGGAACTGGCATTTGTGTCTTAAAAGAGAAAGAGAAACTACCCGAAATGGATAGTAAACATAGATGTTATTATAACAATCGTTAATAAAAATTAACGTAGGCATGTACCGTGTGTTCACCAAAGTAATTTATCATTGAGATTAAAATAACTTCTTACGTGGATCAAGTGCAGCATTAGTTCTCGACTGACAGCCTCATTTCCATGCATATTCGCAACATATTTAACATCAGGTTTTCCAATCATATGTTCATACGGAGAAGCTGAAACTACTAGGACCCATAAGTCCCTCCCTAAAAAATTGTTTTAATAAATAACAACAGTTTAACTGTATTACTATTACTTAAAAAAAATATAATTATGTAGTCTCATTTATTTTTAGCAGCCCTCTACTGAATAATAAAAATTACTTAACTTTCTTGTTTAAAATTTTAATAACAATTATTATATGTTTAGGTACAAATGGTATGGCAAAAAATGCATGCGTTTTTTGATAAAATGAAGTATAGTTTCACTTTCTACAGCGTGTTCGAAAAAACCCCAGATCCATAGCTGTCTTATTTTTTCGAGTACAGCATTGTGTGTGCGTCAAATTAAATCGGTTTTGATATACTTACCTACAGTTCTTTCTAAAAAATTTTGGGCTGACTTTTTCTGACATTTCAAGGAATCTAATGTAGTCTATGTTTTATTGTCATTATGACTGACAATAAGAAAACTAAAATTTTTATAAACACATTATTTAAAAATGTTAGCTGCCTCTTACCACCAAATGTCGAATAGTAACCCTTACTGAAAATGGTATGTAACACAGACAAGTTTCAGCAACTTTAGGGGTACCAAAGAGTACAGTTGTTTTTAATAATTCAAAAATTGAGGCTAGAGCAGACGGTGGAATGACAGGCTCAGAAGACGACGAGGCTTTAGACAATACAGTCAGAAACAATCTTTTCACCCAGCTGCTCATGTGAGAACACTGTCGAATTTTCCCGGGTCGTCTAATAATACCAGCCTATTTTTGTGCAAGTAATATCTCTTAATTGACAGCAACTGATAAAAAAATTAACACGGGACGTCGCCGTTTAAGGGCTGCTGGAATTTGGAACTACGTAGCAGCCAAAAAGTTGAAATTAAGACTTCAACACAAAGCGACAAGAATAGGACTTGCTTTGGAGTATTTGGAACGAGATAATAATAAAAAAAAAAATTCCATACCTGATTTGGAATGGCAATCCTGCTGTCGGTTATTTCCCAGATTTTGGGTGTAAAGGGTTTATTTTAAACAAGACATCGACTAAGAGTAAGCTGGACAATGGATCAAAAGAAGTGGTTTTTGTGAGGCATGTCGATCAATCAAAGGCGTATTAAATATGGCTGCCAGATTCAAGAAAAATCAAAGTTACAAGAGACGTGAGATTTTTGGAGAACAGCCGGAAGTTTTTAGCGAGAAGGACATCGAACGTGATTGGTTTGACTTAGACATCGTTGGGAAATCTGTTCATGAGGTTGAAGTGAAAGTGGAACCGCATGACGAAAAGTATTCCGGGGGTTTCCACAAGAACCAGGCGGGAACGAGATAGAAGGAGACGATGCGACACTGGTTCGAGAGCCTGGACGTGTGAGAATCATCAGAACTGGAAGACGAAAGGACTATGATAAACAGGTTCTTCTGGAGTCATTGACTTTAGATGTTACTGAGATTTTTACGTTAAAGACAATGCCGAATAGTAGGATGAGGTAGGTACTACAAAGACGGCGAATCCTTCTCATGCGGATCCTTGCATATACGTTGTTCAAGCATTAAATGTAACTAGCTTCATCATTATCTATGATATATTAATCATCTCGAGCGACTAAGGACCATCTTTGCCGAAATTTTGAGGTGAAAGACCTGGGAGATCTCACGTACCGTCTAGGTCTTGAATTTGAGAGAAAAGATAATTATATCGCTGTAAGCCAGAAGGGATATATTGAGGACATACTCACGAGATTCAAGATAAGCGATTGTAACCCACTACACGCCGGAAGTGTGTATCAAGTTGGGTAAATTCAACGGAGAAGGTGTTTATCCGAAAGACATCTCTTACCGAGAGCTTCTTGGTGGACTAGTGTACTTATCCATGAGGACAAAACCGGATACAACTCATACCGTGATCTATTTTAGCCAGTTGAACAACTGTTACTGAGAACTTCACTGGAAGGTGGCGAAAAGAGTCCTGGGATATCTTAAAGGAACAAAGGATTTGAGCCTAGTTTCGTCCATCTTTTGAATCTCGCGTGTCTTTCAAATGATAATGAACCTTTTAAAAATAGACTGGACAGTTTTAATGTAAATCCACTAAAAAATCTGTTCCTGGTATCTGTTGTTCCGAAACTAACAATTACACTTCGCAACTGTAAAAATGATTCCAACTTTAGTTGCTAGCTCTGTTTGTGTTATTTTGTCTCCATAGGCCTTCTTGAGTTCTTTAAAACAATTGATTATTGCAGCCTTTTCCCGCGACTTCAATAAAGTTCTTGTCACCTGCGACTTTTTTGATAAAATATTTGTCGGTTTCATTCCTTTGGTCAGTGTTGGGAGCAGATACTTTTAAAAGTATCTAGAAACAGATATAGATATATGGAAGATAAAAGTATCTAGATACAGATTGTTTTCGATTTTTTCGAAATGTATCTAGATACAGATACAAGAAAACAGATACTTTTTGAAGGCTTGGCGAATAAAATAACTGAAAACATGTTTATGTATTTTTTTATGTATTGTTTAATGAACTTTTTAAAATTAACAACATTTCGAACGTATTGTCACCTAAATTATTTCTTCTTGGTGTCAGAATTTGGTTTCCGCTACTAAACACCCGTTCCACAGGTGTAGAAGAAGGGATTGTGGTGTTAAATTTAAAAATAAACATTTTACTGTAGCATAGTTATTCAAGACTGAAAAATCTTTTCATTTTTCCTGCAAATAGGCCATCGCTTCGCTGTTTGATGTGTCGCAAATAGTGCAATATTTATTACGTACCTACGCTTAAAAAGAATATTTTTTTTGTTTTTATTCCCATACTACAGTGCCCAAATTGTGTTTGGTATATCTAATAATTGTCTCCAGCATTTAAAATTAATATTTCAAAAGAATACGGGAAATGATTATTCTGTGCTGAAGGTCTGTTGTCGGCAACCTGTCATAAATTATTATTTTTCAATATCGGCTTACGATGTTTTTATGACTATGTCCGTTAATCGTCTATACGGGTGCGGCAGGTATATACATTTTAGGAAGAATCGCTGGTTCCGTTTAAGGCAATATAAAAACAATTTCCTAGAAAGGTATTTAAACCCCTTATAGGATCAAAGGCTGCCTGGCAGGCCGGAATCACCAGAGTGCAACTTTAAATTTCCAGATTTTTGTTGAAACTCATTTTATTTTAATCTCGTTTCACGACTTCTGAGAATATATCACGATAAATTATTCTACCGAGGGTTGTAAAAATATTAATTTTATTGCCCAAGATTTACACTTAACACACTGCACATTCTAGGGCAAAACGGACCTGCCAAGCCCGCCTCGCGTTAGGTCCAACAATGAAAAAGTGAAGAAATGACACATGTGGCAACAGGAAAAGATGCTAGATTTGTCTGAAAAATAAAGGTATAAAACAGTAACAAATATGCGATTTATGTGAGAGAAATGTATGTATTGAACATTCGATTAGTGGATTACAGAACTAATTTGTGCTAATTGAAAAAATTAATCATTATTTAACATGCAATTATTATTTTCTAAAAATAATAACATACCTTAAACAAATATTTTTACTATTAAAATTACTCTTATTTAATAACACAAATACAACCAGCGGGCCTATCGGACCCGGGTTGCTCAGGTACGCAGATAAAATGCATTGTCCCGATAAGGGTAAAACGCAGTGAATAGTGAATTGTGGTTTATGGTTTTTAAAATACCATCTTACCATGGCTTAGATTTATTACCCCTCAGGATTATATTTAAAGATGTATAAGTTCTGAAGGCTACAAAGTAGGAAATGATGGTATTTAAAATATGAAAATTTCCGTGACAGAACACTATTAGTGGACCTCTTACCTCTATTTTTGTTTATGTGGCCAAAATCACCAACATGAAGTATCAAAAATTACTACTAGTATAACTCAACTAATAACTACTGAAAAAAAAGTGAAAGAAAAAATGTATCTGTATCTGCGCCATTAATTTTGTATCTAGATACAGATATTTTGTGCTTAAATTCGATTTTATCTAGATACAGATACTAGATACCCAAAAATGTATCTAGATACTTTATTTAGATACAAGTATCTAGATACTGCCCAACACTGCCTTTGGTGAATACTTAATTATGCCTGTGTAATTTAGTGCGCATATATTAAAAAATAGATAATACTTGTTTTTAAAAACAGTATGAAATATCAAACACAATGCTGGTTTTTTTGAACACGTGGTTTAATAAAGTTTAAGTATTTATTTAACAAACCTTGCACAGATTTTCCGATGGAATACAAAGCGGTCAAGGAAGGATATTTTGATGTTGTTGCCCTTAGCCATTTAGTCATTTCATCGTAATTGTGATAGTTGTATGATATACCATAAGGTTCATTTTGCTCATGAATGTTATATAGTGATGGTACAGCTTGATAATTTCTTTCTTCAGTAGGTGAATTGTCTACTGTTATTCTGGATACCAGTTTTGCTTCCTTGAAAGGGTCGCTAACCGTAGACGGTCCTCCTTGTGCTAAAACTCTCATAATCTGAAGGAGAAGGATTACCACCCACATATTTCTATCCTAAAAAAAAAAAACAGATTAGCTGAGTATTTCACGAGAAGCTGCATGCTTAAAAAACTCATCTTTGATATTTCAACTATTTAAAAAAGGTACGTAATAGTATATTACATACCGAGGCGGGAAGTGTTTCATTACCGTCGAACGCCAGATTGTTGGACCGAGACGCGTAGCGTCGAGGTCAACAACAGGCCTGAGACGGGAATGAAACATGTCCACCGAGTGTATGTATACTATTTTATTCACAATCATTAAAAATAAATATAAATGGAAATAAAATTCACCTCACTTATTTTATAATTAGAGAGCAGGCGTTCCATGTCAAACTTGACATTATAATTTGTCAAGTTTTTTATTAAATTATTTGAGGCAAATATGTACGCTAAATAAAAGGTCTTCAGATTTGTTATGGGCACCTGTAGCTTTATTTAGGTTGTTTTCCAACCATACGCTGGGGTAAAAGTGGGTATTTATCTAAGGAACAATTTATTTGAAAATAGAACAATTGCTTTCTTTGCACATTCTATTCAATTATACGCACAACACGATTTCACGATGTTTAAACAAATAGTCCAATAAAATACAACTTAAAAAGACTGTAGACATCTAAATAAGGTAACTTGAGCATATAAAACGTAAATTTGCAAAAATACACCTTCAAACACCATGCGACAGCACGAAAGAAACCTCCAGAAACACAGTGCTCTGCAGTTTCGCGTCAATGTTTTGCCACCCAGAGAGCCCTGTCTCTGTCCCACTGTGTTGACAACGCGCATCTCTCTCTAAGATACTTCCATGTAATATTATTTCTATGGTTTATATGTCTAGGCGCGACGGTCATTCCGCCGATAAGCAAATGTCGCAGTAAGTATATGTTATTCTTTTAGAGTTTTCTGGAGAGACTTTTTTATGCATTCCTTAATGAATGAACTTTAGTTTTGTTTATTACATCCAGTGTATTGATTGATATATCATACTAACAATAATGGAAAAATATGAAAGCATTGTAAAGCACATGAATAACTACAGTGTAATAATAACAGTTATCTATTATTGTATTCTCACATTGTGAAAATGGGATGTGCTGTTTATGATTTGAAGGGAAAAGCAATTAGAAACGCCGGGAGTCGTTCTGCATTTACTAAACGACGTATTATGTGGTAAAAGAACAGTGAAGTTGAGCAAAAATAATAATAATTAACAAAAGCAGGACGGATTCACAAAACACAAGCGTGGATGTATAATATTTTATGAAATTTAAGATATATTAATTATACAAAATTTTGCAGGGATGTCATTACGTTGTTGGTGGGGATGAGTAGACAAATTTGGATTAGCGTTTTACCATCTACATGATATACCTAATATAATATACAACCAAAATTGGCAACAATCGGTCCAGTAGTTTCGAAGATTATCTGTCTAATAAAAATCTGGACAGATGGCAGACAGATAGACAGACGGAGAGACAGACAGATAGACGGAGAGACAGACAGATAGACGGAAGGGGGAGACCTATTTCTTCGTACTTTAGGGGTCATGAAAGGTCGAGAAAAATTAGGTAATAGTAGAGAGTTTGCGGACGGACTCGATTACAATACTTCCTTCGTTTACGCGCATGTCAAAAACATAAATATTGTAAATTAATAGCGTGATAGGTTTGGTATGCATATGCTTTCTATATGTTATGTTTTTTTGGCATGTCAGATATGCTAAGCGGATATGAACCGACTTTTAGGCTGCAAATTTCCAAGTTAAAACATATTCTCCAGAACTCGGTGAATACGTAAATTTCGTAGTAGTTTGGATCTACCTGCAAATTTTGTCTTTGGGGGATTAGGACTCCCACACACTGTGACAGCCCCCGAAGTCAATCCGTCCATAGGGTCAAAACTTACGAGTTCAATTGTACCTGTCCTTGTTAAAATGTTGACGACATGATTCTGTTTACACAATTTCGACAGCAAACCACAGGCAGGCGATAGACGACGCAGAGACGGAAATACGAGACCTATTTTTTCATAATCTAGAAGTGACAGAACGTCAAGAAAACATCAAAATAGTCGTTCACCGGATAGAGCTTATCCCCTAGTTTACACTCAGGAAGTAAAAAGATAATATATACTAGTTTCTACGTTTAAATCCGAAAGTTTCGTGGTTATCATTTATGTCCACTAAGGTCAAGGTTTTCAGTCAGCTGATTACTAATCAAAGTATGCATTTTACAATTTAACCAGTACTTTAACCAACTGACCTAGTTCTCAAGAGAATTTAATTAATGAGAAAAAAAGGTAGGTACCGTTAACTCACGCATACAGCGGTCAGGTATGCTATTGTGGCCAGATACTGAACTGCTCTCTAAACGAATAGTATGGTACGCTTGTAAATGTATATTGGAATGGAACGAATAAAGCGATATAAGAAAATTATCTATTATTAACATAAAATAAGAAATTAGCAACACTTACCTTACCTTTTTTATGTTCGATGAATCAATGTAAATAAAACTGTTTCTAATCAATTTAACTATGTCGTCAGATGGCGGTGACTGAAATCTGATTTCTGCATCGTAAACGGAGTGAATTTGTATATAATTTACTGAGTAATAACGAGACTGATAATTGATAAAGCAAGACAAAATAGTTTTGCAACAAAAAATTGTGCTGTTATTTGCTCAGACGTGAGTTAGTTGACAAAACTAACGTTCAAATCAATAATATGCAGGTGTAAAACTTTATGTTAAGTTAATTTATAAATTGCTCTTTTATTACACACAGAAGTTTTAAACGCCGTTGCTGTGTGTCTATGCATTGCATACAGGATGTCAATCTATAAATTCTTCAGCCTTCAGTATTTTAATAGGGACCATCCGGGAAACGGCTACTTTTCGATGATAATCAAATTTTAGTTAGTTACAAATGACTTAACATTTTGACGACAATGTTAAGTCATTTGTAAACTTTAAAAATAATCGGTTCGACAGTTTTGGAGATTGGGTCCTAACAAATTTTCAGACAGACAACACAGAGAGGCCGAAATGATTCGAATATATTATTTTACATGGCGATTCCTCAAGGAAAAAAAAATGTTTAACATGCATTAAGCCTTAGTAATGTTGTCTTTCAATTTAGCAGAAAATATTCTAGTACCTATTTTTTCTTTGCGAAACCTATTACTTTCTTTTACCAACATGGTCACTAATAATTAAAATCAACTTGATCTCAAAATCTAACCGATAAAATAAGCATAAAATGCTACTTTTCATTTTTACTTCCCGAGCGTAAGCTAAGGAAGTATAGTAATCAAGGCAATCGGACGAAATGACACTTTTATATTTTCTCGACGTTTCATGACCCCTACAGTACGAAAAAAGTAGTCTTCCGTTTTCGTCTGTCTCTCTATCTGTATCCATTTTTATTAGACACGTAATCTGTGAAACTGCTGGACCGATTGTTGTCAAATTTTGTACGTATATTAGACATATCATGTAGATACTTAAATGCTACCCAAAATTTGGATAATCATCCCCACCAACAATTTGATGACGTCATTTCAATGAATTGTATTTTAAAATGATTTGAATGTGATACAAAAATATACTCTTATATTTGTAGTGTACGAATCCGCTTTCAGTTTTTTCGCTAAATGTTCACATTTTGGCAAAAACATTTGCAAGGTTTAATAACATTATATTACCGACACTGAATAGAAGTCCTCGTGGTACAGTGGCTAGGTTAGGAACAAGGAGACTTGCGGCGAAGCCGTGCGACATGCGGTAGTGGGTTCGATGCTGAATTTGGCACGTTGATGACGTCACTACAAATGTTTTATTGGTCAAATTAAGAACAAGTCATCCCATTTCCTCGAAAATGTGAGAATACGCACGTCTTTATATAATAATGATAAAATAAGAATTATAATATTCAGAACATTTTGTACGATTGTGGTTTAATTAATAATTTTAGTCCTGTGTTTTGAGAAGACAAACTCTTTCAAATCAAAGTAATTTCTAGTGTGTCATTCTTTCGATGTATAAACATAAATCAACACTTGAGCTTCAGATTGCTATTAACTAGTGCTGACGGATATTTTATGACGTTAGTTATGTGCTCTAAATATATTCTACATTGTTCGTAGGGCGCCAAGGCTGCGGTGGTGTTATTTACGTCGCTGTACATAATTTTACTCTACATAAAACGAAAATCATAAAATCAAACTTTATAATTTTTTTAAAAAGCTGGATTTGTTGGATTATTATATGTACTTATAGGGTCCTACCAATTTTTTGTTGATCAAATTAATAATCATATTCAAAACACTTTGTTCCATTGTGGCTTAATTAATAATTTTGGTCCTCTGTTTTGAGAAAACAACTAATTCAAATTAAACAAATTTCTACGTGACATTATTTCGATATATGTATCGTGTTTTGTATAAACATAAACAATCGAAGTTAAGCATGGACACTGATAATAATACACTCTTTTCCATTGGTTATTTGCTTTAAATATATTTCATATTGTCCGTATGTCTGAGAACAGCATCTCCCTGAAATTTGCGCCCCCGCGGCGCAGGTGGTTCGAGATGTCATTTACACCACACTTTACTGTACTTCAAGAACGAGGGAAGTTCTGTCGAAGTAACCTCTGACCAACTTTTTAAAGTTTGTTTTTCACGCTTTCATCAGTAACTGTTACGATTCAAATGGAAAGTTACTGTGCATGTGTACAGTTTAAAAAACGTGTCAATAATTTTATCAATGAACACAAGCATTGTTCCGCCGTTTTCTCTGACATAACTGTTTTCAAACAATGACGGGATATTATTTCAAATAGAAAATAATAGTACATAAGAAAAATCTGTATACTTTTTAGTTTGTAGTAGCACGTTCTTAACTTGTGCGTAACAGGGTTTTGTTATTTTACTAAAGGTTAATTACCACGTGGAATGAACTTTTGGGTCTTGTCCTATATTGTCAAACATTTCTGTATTCTCCCTAACAT